GGCTTATCATACTTCTATCAGAAGATCATAATTTCAGCCTTTGTTTTATCTTCAGACAAAACTGGCTACATTTGAAAAGCTATTGCAGCTGTGCTGGATACTGTTGAAAATTCCTAAGTATGACTCAGATGACAAATTATATTTGATAGAGATTCTACAGGGACTTGCAGAGCAAACCTTCAATTCTGAAAATGATTAAGTTAACTGAAAATTTAACAGGGAACTCCTGAACTCCTACAAGATGTTGCATCCCAGTCTTTGTTGCCTAAGTAGCAAAATTTATAGAATAATCACATTACTCGGGAAGAGTTAGATAATGAAATGGAATCCATTTTTCTATGAATATTAAAATATAATTGTGATAATTATTATGAAACATAAGTATACAAAGATTTCATTCTGGAGGATATAATTGTAATTGTTCAGATACTTTCACAATTCAAATAGGTGTTGGTCATTTGTCTCCTGTGTTAAAGTTTGTTAAATAAATAAGATTTCAGGCACATAAGAAGAAAGTAACAAATACCTACTTTGTGGGAAAAAATTGTTATAAGTGAAAATTATTTTATTTGTACTTTAAAGGAATTTCCTAAAAGTGTTACTTCCCCAAATTTCTGTCCACCATTAAATACAGCATGTGTCTGAATACATAGACACACACACACACACACACACACACACACACACACAAATACGTGTAAGCATACACAAACACATGTGAATTTTCCTATGTGTTCTATATTAGAATCCAGCATTTGGCATAAATTTTTGAGTGTTTAATTAGAAAAAACTAATTACTAACACAGTATTTAAAATTATCTAAAGATAAGTGATAAGATGATAAATTTAAGTGTTTTCTTAATCAGTCCCCAGTTCTACAACTTAATCCTTTCTCTTTTCTACACCATTTTATAATCTCTATTAGAAAAAAAAATTGCAAAATTAAATGCCAATTCCTAAATTGCATAAAAAATATTACCACAATCAATGACTAATCCCAGTGGAAAATATGGCATAAGATATTCTGGAAAGTGTGCTAGTCAATTCCAATGAGTAATTTTGAAAGTCATGTAAACTCTTTGAACTTTTGTTCAATCTTGTGGCAATTTTCAGCTAAAAAAAATGTAAGGATAGAGATGTAGAATCTCAGCTTTAACAGCAAAGGAAAATAAAAGTAGACAGGAACAGAGGTATTTAGTGTTTCCAAAAATAATATAATATAATACACTTTTGTTTATGAATGGCAAGGAAATGTGAGTTTTGAGTAAAGAAAATTTCAAGACTAAGGAGAACTGTTTATCAATATAGGTCTGTGGAAACAAAAATAAGAAACAAATAAAATTGCCTTGAGGACTAATTAAGGGAAGAGTCATGAGTGGGTCATAGTAGTTACTCAAAATTTTTCTATCTTGTCCGGCTCCCAATATTATTACCTCAGGCTTGGATGTATCTATGATTAGAAATGACCAAGTCCTACCATCCTAACATCAAGTTTTCAACCATATTTCAGATTCACCTATGTACATATTAAAATTTCTTGAAGCTCTTTTCAATGGAACCTACATGCTTTCACCCACATAAACCAAGTGGACCAATCAAACCATTTAGCAATAGCAAAAAGAATATGCACTTTATTTTACAATTGAGTTGTCAATTATCCTGTTTTAGGTTGTGGTTATTCCATGGATTCAATGTATTATTAGGTAAATCTTATCAGAAATACATTTTAAAAACTGTAATAGTGATTTGAAAGCTTATGGAATATGCTGAAAAAGGAAAGTCTACGTAACTGTGCAATGATCGAGAAAGAAAGCAATTTCTCTTCCATGTGTTTTTCATGATGGAGATAAATTGATTTTCTTATTGCTATTGTAGAGAGCACTGCTGACATTCACTGGCCTACTGAGTTCATCACAGCTGTGCTTAGGAACCTCTCCCAAGCTACACTTTCCACTGAGCTGGAAAAGATTTGAAGTTTTGGTCAGTAATCTGCCATACCCGTGTTTTGTTTTGTCTTTCTATTCACTCTTTTTTTGTTAAGGAGCAAAATGGAATGTCTGTGTTAACTGGTTAACATCAGTGATATTAGGAATATATATAAAGAAATGTGTGTCTAAATTGCTATGAGAACACAGTCCCTGGATTCCATAGACGGTTTCATCAGCATGTGTATTTGACCCAGTTTGAACATCAGTCCCAGTCCACACCCTTCTAGACTCTGTATTAGGAAACAATGACTTGAGGAGAAGGAACAGGATCTGGGACTCAGTAAGCAAAGCATCCTGATGCAGGTCCCCCAAATCTGCTTGGGGTGACTGACAAGTGTTAAATCAATCTGGAGTATGACATTTCTGAAACATGATCTCTCATGGATACCTTAAAATACAGCAATGATTTTATGTGCAAAATAACAGCTAACTTTTCATAAATGAGTGTTTCAGTCATAAGATTTTTTGTTAATAAATATTATTTGAATAGTGAGTCATATTAAAAATTTTAGGACAAACCAAAACTACATTAATGATTGTACATGTAATACCTGAAATGACATGTAAAATTACTAGTTTCACAATAATATATCTAGTTTTTCACACTGCAACATAATTCTAGTGAAAAAATTGAATAAATGCCAAATGTTGTAGACTATCTAAAAACAGTAAGATAGATCTACTTAATCTAGATATATGATCTCTTTATGTAAGTGCAAGACACTAGAAGAAAAATTAAAGCCATTTCTGAATTGGTTTGAACACAAAAGATTTTTTAAAGTAAAAAGTAAAGATGACTGGAAAAGTCTTCTCTTCCCCAACATCACCACTATGATGCAGTGGACAAACCTATAATCATGACAATTCAATATTACATTTTTTTTTCCCTCAAGTGGTGACTTGCTGATCTAAAGGTAGAAGAGACTTCCATCTACATTTCTTTTTCTTTCATCAGGTAATGTCATCTACATTGGGGCATCTTTTGTATAACTTTTTAAAAAATGACTTATTTATTTTTGCATACAAGAACTGGGGTACAGGCCAAAGGTACTGGGTGGGGGCAGGGCGGAGGTAGTGAGAGAAGTCACCAGAAATAGAGTAGGGAACAGAACAGGCAGACCCACTGAAATACACTGCTGATGGGAGCAGTGGGCGAGACAAGAGAGGTCTGCTGCACCATGTGGTGTAGATTCCTAGACAGGGATTGAACTCATGCTGCAGAGGTTGGCAATAGCTTAACAGCGCAGAGATTCAACCTCCTGTGCTATCAGAGAGGCCCTAATGTACACATGTAACTAGACTGTAGGGAGACACTATTCATGGCTATACAATAAAAGTACAGCTGGGAATAGACATATAACATGAATTGAATAAAAACTGAATAGCGGCCCTCCCTGGTGGCGCAGCGGGTTAAAGCCCAACACTGAGAATTTAAAGCCACTTCCGCATGAGTTCGATTCCCGCCTGCCCTGGAGGAGACCACATGGCGCGGCAGACCTCTCCTGACCCGCCCGCTGCTCCCCTCAGCAGTGTACTTTGTCGATCTGCCTGGTCTGTTCCCCACTCTGTCTCTGGTGAAGCCTCTTGCCACCCCTGAGCCTCTGGCCTGTACCCCAGTTCTGTATGCACAAATAAATAAATCTTTAAAACAAAAAACTGAATAGCATGAGTGGAGAGAACAAGAAAGATGAAAGCGAATGGGAAGGAGGAAAGCTTTGAGCTGTGTCTTAGAGAAATGACTCCCATGAATTGCTGTGAGATGGGGAGAATTTTAGGTGTATATGCATGAAAATCAACATGGTTAAGTTAACATGGAAGGAACAAAATCAATGTAGGCAACCTTGAATGAAATTGAAAAGTCCTATGTAGGATTTAGAGATGAATGAAGAATTATGGACTATAACCAAGAATTATGGACTATAAGCAAATATCTCAATTGCAAGAAATATCTTAACAGTGTGAGTAAGCATATCTTTGGCAAAGATATATCAAAGATCTAAAAGTGGTATTTACCTTTCTTTCATGTATGACTCTGATATTACTCCTTATTTCCAAAAAGACATTCCAAAAGCTACCTTGAAGAGTTAAGGAAACTATACATACATATGAAAGCCTATATTTAGCAATTTTTATACTAACCAGATAAATTATTTACACTAATTTATACTAACCAAATAAAATGAGAATTCCTTATGATAGTCTACATAATATGCTTTTTTTCTTTTGGTTTCTTGCAGAATGAAAAGATGAAAAGACAAAATTTTCTCTAGAAAAAAATCTGCTCCAGCTTTCAAAAGCTGCTTAAAAATTGGAAATCTCACAAGAAATTACTCTTTGGCTGGCCAAAGAAATGTGTGAGAAGTAGAAACAGCTATAGATAAATATCTGGCTTTTAAGATGCCATTCAAACATAATTCAGATACTTAGTCTTTTGACATTTGCTTGAAATTGAACTTCCAGGACCTTGGGTGGGTGGATGAGTGGAAGGAACAAACAGAGGCTTTTCTTTCAGTTAATCTTTTACAGTTCCCTATTTAAGTTGCGTTAGGGTGGGTTTTGGCAAAATCCCAATATATAAAACTTCTAGGAAGATAAGGTTTGCAAATTAGCCATGCCCAAGAAAGGGCATTAGCAATTTCTCAAAAATATGCAGTAATAAATGGTTTAAGGGGGAATTTTAAAAGTATATACATTTCATTCTTCTAAAAAAAAGCACAAGGCAGAGTGTTTTGGTATATATTCTTAAGTTGTATAAACATATATGTGACAAAAATATGTGCCAAACGTATTCATAAACAGATGCATGTTAAGCTCCAGATGTGCTATTTTTCTAAGTTTGTGGGTTGTCTTCTATAAGGGAAAAAGAAATATTAATCATTTCTTTTACTGCTAAGGGGATGGGTGCTGCTCTCATATTTCAGAAAGGGGCTGGAAAGTGAGGGAAGCCAAACTTTTTCCTATTTAAGGCCAAAGCAAAGGAATCTCAGTGGCTGAGTTTTATGACGGGCCCGGTGCTGAAGGGCAGGGAACAACTGATGGTGCTACTTTGAACTGCTTTTCTTTTCTCCTTTTTGCACAAAGAGTCTCATGTCTGACATTTAGACATGATGAGCTTTGTGCAAAAGGGGTCCTGGTTACTTCTAGCTCTGCTTCATCCCACTGTTATTTTGGCACAACAGACCCAGGAAGGTGAGTAGGTACTGATTTCAAGAAACTTTATGGGGTTTTTGTCGGTACTTCTCCTTTCAAATAGGTAAAAAGGAGAATCCAGCTCCTAAAAGTTATCTCTGTAAACTCCCAACTGAACCGTAGACCTGCCCATGAGGTGCTTTTTACATCTGCTTAGAAAGAATATTGTCATTTTTGTATTTCAAACTTCTCGGGTTGTTTGGGATAAAGATGTTCTTGTACTACCTTGTTTTCATGTTAACGGCACTGGAAACCTTTAAAATGGCTTTGAAAAGCTCCCCTCCTGGATTGTTAACATTCTGGAATGCTTTCCTAGGCAGTCTGGAAGTTATTGGTTTCTCATAGTACTTTTATGTTCTGCTTTGTATGCTGGATTCTTTGTGAGCTAGAATACTGCGCTCTGCTTTCCAATAAAATAATGCATTTTAAAATAGCATGCACAAACAGTAGTCTAGAGGAAAATACGACAAAGAATGAGAATTGTTGAATATATTTCTGTAAAATGGCAACACAGCAAAATCTTCAATGTTCTTTAACTGAGTTCCAAATGCTAAAAATGTTTCATCGTGCCTGGTTTTATTCTGTTGTAAGCACTTACATACTTGATGTATACATATTTTCTGATAGCTTATTGGTAAGGAGCTAGTGTTTACTGCTTAGTCTACATTGCAACTGTATCCTATTAGTAAAGAGAATACTTTGAAAATAATTCCAACAGGAATGTCTGAAATGATTTGTTGTTTTTGTACAACCATGGTATTCACATTCTAATTTCCCCCAAGCCAAGTTTGTCTCATTATTTAATCATGTATAAATATTTATTTTAATCCATATGTTTCTCTGTCATGAAATATTGGTCAAATTGTAATACGAACTTTCATAGAAATAAATACTTAAATGCCAAACTTAAAGATTTTTAGAAGAAATCACATGTCAACTTCTATTTGCACATAATCAAAAATGATTACATTTAAAACTAGATTTCTATAAGCATTGTGTCTGAAAAATAGTTCTTTTGTTTTTGTTTTTAATATCTCATCACAGCTCATATATGTAAGTGGAGGTGGGGGGTACCCAATGACATTAATGTTTAGCCTGTGGCCACAAAAGAAAAAAAAAAAAAAACACTTGTTTCCTTCATTCCCCCTCCCCCTCATCCAGCTCCCTCTCTCCTTTCTTCCTATCTCTCCACCCCTTTAAGCTCCCTGGTACCTCCTCTCCCCCTTGTTACATCACTGATCACCCCACCCGATTCCAGGGCTAGCCCATCTCTCCTGATCGCTCCTCCTCCCTCTCTCTCCCTCTGCCACTCCCTCCCTCATTGCATGTGTCCTCTTTGTCTCCACCTCTTTCCTGTATTTATTCCTGCTCTTTTCCCTAGAACTATCAATCTTCCTTCTTTGTCATTTATTCTTGTTTCTTTCCCTCCCCATTCTGCCCCTTCCAGAAGATGCTAAATGCCCAGTCCTGGACTAGGATGTTCACCTACCATATTCCCACCTTAATAAAGACTTTTAACAATTTTTCAATGTTCTTAAATTCTGATTTCTGAAAAATAAATTCAAAGTCCCATTTGTTTGTAAGACTCTGATTTGTAGCTCAAGAAATTGACAAAATACCTGCATATGTCTGGGTTTTGTAAGCACTGTGGCTATTATTCTTCTCAATCTAACTTTAGAAGGGGGAAAGTGTTTGATACATATATTCTCTTTATGTCACACATATTCTTTTACCTTTCCCTTTTCTCTTTAGCTGCAGATAAATAACTAACTGAAACTTTAGTGATACATTTGGATGCCCTTAATCTCAAAGGAGTTAAATGAAATTTTGTTCCTTGTTTGGTTTGTTAGGAAAAAAAATGTTTTGTAAGATAGAATATCTTTTGTCCCCAATCAATTTCACAAGATAATTCTGTGGGGAAATTGCAGGAGATGGTCGAAGTACATAAGAACAGTTATACCTAGTTCTGAGATATGAGTTTCTAATCTGAAAATCACAGAGTGAAACAGCGCAGTTTAAGTAAACACTAACTTCTACTATACTCACAGGAATTTTCTGGAGTATAAAACATGTCCTCATGAAGAATTTTGGACTTTTTACAATTTGTGAAACTTTCATTTAATTGCTGTATTTCATTCCACCAATGGAGAAATGTGATCTGTTTTATATTTCCTATGTTTATAAACATGCCAAAATTTAAATACAAAGACTTGCCACCTAGTGGTTGACAGATAAATGCCAACATAAATGTTACATAGCTGGATTCTATATTTTATGAGTTCTAGAAACATTACATATGTGAATTTTAAAATATTAAACTTTTTTAGGAATATCTAATATTATTTTCTTAAGAATGAGTAGGTTACTGATAAAATATTTCCAAACACACATACACACAAACAGTAACATATTTAAAGACTTTTTGAAATGAATTTGAATGCTGTGGTCATTTTTAAATTCCACATATAGCTTTTTAAATCATTTTTGAATCTCTGGTTTAGTCCTTATTTTCAGTAAGTTATATTAATGCTTACTAGTGGATAGATGATAAATGTAAAAGATGATAGATAGAAAGATAGATAGGACAGATAGTTCATTGATAGGTAGGTAGAGAGACAGTACTAAGGAATATTGCTTCATTATATTTAAAAATGTTCTAGTGTTTGAGCTTGTATTTTGCTACCAGATAATTCAAGTGTGATAATGAACTCTGGACATTTAATTGTTTTTAGAATTACAAAGCTCTAAATGGAGTCAGAATATCAGCTCCTTATTACATTTTATGAAATTATAATCCATATACTTACAGAGAGATCTAGTAGCTGATAAGTAGTATTCAAGTTTTCTTGTCTATGTTGCACCTAAAATTAAACATATTGAATTAAAGAATAAAAAGACTAATAAATGAATCAAAACTAATAAAAGATTCCTGTGTTGATGTCTTACCAGAGAGCTTACATTTAAAAATCAAGCACCACTGACTTGACTTTTCCAAGAGTAGAGCTGAGGTAAAAGGTGACTCCTCAGAAAGCTTGTGTTCCATACCCACAGAATTGCAAACGAGTGCAATCACTAGCACAAACTAGGGCTGTCACTGGGAGAAGAGTGCCATCCACTGAAACCACCTGGTTTCCATTGAGCATGAATCTCCTCTTGCACAGAGTTCCAAACATTATGTAGCTTAGTTCTTTCATTTTGCAACATCAAATGATATCATTGCCTTGAACTAATTAAAGTAGATTGCTTAAGCCTTTGCTAGACATGAAGGGCATTTGTAAAGTTTCCAGGTCTACAATAACTTTCTGGAAACATCTCAGTGAACTATTTCTTGTAAAACAGTTTTCTCCGGAAGAAAAGCTCCATGCAGTTGCTTTCCACAGTCAAAAAGAAGGAGGTAGAGGATTGATAATAGAAAAAAAAAAAATCCAGAGTTTTCAAAGTGGAAACCTTGCCTGTTTCTTGTCAAGATGACAACAAAACATAGGTTAGCTATTCTTGCACAAATCATTTGTTAACTGCAGCTTGGGGAGTTACTTTAGGCACTTTCTGTCTATGTATAATGAAAACACAGCAGAAGTGGATTCCTTTAAGATTAGCTAATAAAGCCCTTGTATTTTCCATGACTGAGGTCAAGAACTGCTGTATAAAATGTAATCTTGATAAACAAAATGAAAAGTTCAAAGAAGAGGGCAAACATTAAAATGCCTAAAATGTAAAAATCAAAGATAAGGGGTCCAGAACATATTAAAAGTTAAATCTCCCTTGAAAACTTGCCTGGAAAAATTGCTATTTCAGCTAAATGGCATTTATTTTTCTGAAACTTTGTTTTCTACAGTGCTTGGTCTGGAGAATGGCAAAGAAGGCCTGTGTTTCTCAAGCTAGTTAAGATCAGACACTTTTTAGAGCAGCATAATATGTTCATAATGTCCAATCTTAAAAGGAAAGCATCAGTGAAGTTAGGAAAGCATCAGTGAAGTTAGGAGTTCAGTAATACAAATTTAGTGACTACATTTTCTGAAAATCAACATCTTTGTCATTTAGACATCCTAAGTTGTTTGTATTAGATATAGAAGTCTTATTATCTATTTGTTGTTCTTGCTGCTACTATTTTTAGACTCCTACTTCTGTCTATATATCAAATGTAAGCTGGGCTTCCAGTCAGACCCAATCTTGTCAGTGGTCTGGATGTCACTAGGGGGTCTTGGAGATATAACTCATTTTCATAAGGTCAGGAGAAATTAAACAACAGAATTCAATTCCACATGTTATCTTCCTATTTTCAGTCCAGACAGAAGAGATTCTGTAGATCTGTTCTCCCTTTTAAAAAAGCTGCCTTTTAAGACTGATTTTAAGCTCACTTGCAGGGCTTAGGTACCATACTGGGAAAGAGGTTTGAAGTTGATTTCCTTTACTCTACTTTGCCCTTGAAGTGCAGAAAGGAAATAGAATCGAATGGGGAAGGGTATCAAATTTAGAGACAGCTTTCTAAAGTTCAAATCTACCTTAGGGAAATGGCTTAATATAACTGTGTCTCAGATTCCTCATCTGTAAAATGTGAATTATGACAGCACTCACCCATAGGGCCTTTGGGAAAAGTAAGTAAAACATATAAGCAAGGCATTTTATACAGTGTCTACAACATAGAAGATATTGTAAAACTCTTCCCAGCTTTAGTTGTATTAACACTGGGAAATAGAATTACTATAAGGAAGCAATTAAAATATTTAGTATCTTAATGATAAGAAATTGTCAAATTTTAGATTATCAAATGTAAATTGAAAGGTATTTGCCAACTACACTAAAATAAGTAGGATGCATTTTACTTAGTGTTTAATTTACCACTAACTTGATTATTTATAATGAAATTGCTGACTGTAAGATATAATTCTATAAATGTTCTAATTCTCTATTTTTATTTTCACAGGATAAAATACTAATCACTTTAAAGAAAATGTCTTTAATTTTCTTATTGCTCAGAAAATATCCTTAATTTTCTTATTACCCAGATAGAAATTTTAATATCCAAAAGAATTAAACAGTTTTTATTGTTAAATTATATTGTATTTTCTTGAGGTAACAACACTATAAATGACTCAGAGGTATAGGCTTACACCGCCTCAAATGTATGTAACCAGATCACGCCCACCACCAAGGCACCCACAGTCTACCACCATAGCCCATTGGGTTTCTCCCCTGTTCCTCTTCCCACTCTCTGTTTCAAGGAAGTGCATGTTTTCCATACATTCATATGAATTAAATGCCAAATACATTCCATTGGTGACTGTATGAACTCAACATATTCACACTTATAAAATATCCAACTTGTAACAAAAAATGAAAATTGTATATCACCTATACTATTTTTAGATTTTCAGATTAAAAAACACCTCTTCCCAGATATGGACTCAATAAGAAAAAGAAAAAATTAAATTTTCTTCGAGCTAAATTAACTATTTGACTGAGTGCTATATGAATATTAATTTTACTCCAAAAGTGGAATGAAGACAAACATAAGTTGCATTACTTTTAAATAACAATAACACAGTTTATCAAATTAACATAAACTGTGTTTCTTTGAAGAAAGAAACAAAGTCAACAAAGGAAAAATTTAAGCACACCTAAACATAATAGATTATGGTACTTGGTTTTAGTTTTCTCTAACATTTTAAAATAGAGCTAGAAAATAAAAGAAACTAAGAATGACATGTTCCTCACAATATAGCTTCATTTTGTTTTATAATTTAGATTCTAGTAAGGGGACAATTTAGTCTAATGTGTTGCTTGTATGACCAGAAATAGAAATAGATTTATTTCTGGATGTATTTCTTTGTGGATTTATTTCTTTGTGTAAGGAACATAAACACATAAATGTAAACACAAAGTGACATGCAAGATTGCAACCAAAAATTAATTACAAATTGGAACAGGGAAGTTTAGTTGAAGTAACAATAAAAGAAGTAACTGGGAAAATCTATACTTGTACATTGGTGAGAGGATTTGTGAAAGTATTTGTCTTTTTAAATATTTTTTGCAAAAATATTCTTAAATCAAATTTGCTTTGAACTCACATATCTAACAAGGAATAATCAGAGGTAGATATTATTTCTGAATCTTATTTTCTATTCTAGTTCTAAATGTTGCAAACAGCTACCTGGAGCATTATACAGTAGTCACCACTTATCTCAGGGTTTATGGTCCATGATTACTTAGTGTATTCCTGAGATGGCCAAAAATACTAAGCCTCCTATATACCTATTTCCTTTATATACATGATTTTGTTAAAGTTCAATTTATAAGTTAGGCACATTAATATGTTAATAGTAACTAATAGTAAAATAACTAATAGTAAAATAACAAGCATAAAAATGTACTATAAAAAGGTTATATAAATGATTTATACATATAAATCTCTCACTGTACTGTACTTACCATTCCTCTGGTGACATTATGACCTTGATACAATGTCTAGGTGATGCCATGAAGTGAGGTGAATGGAGTAGTCACTGTGACATACAACTGCCACGTGGATACACTGGACAAAGGGCTGATTCACACCCCAGGCCTGTCAAAGTAGCAAAGCATGAGTTTCATCATCCCACACAGACCAGAACCCAATTTAAAACTTATGATTGGCTTATTTCTGGAATTTTCTATTTAATATTTTTGGCTTCAGGTAGTTAAAACCTTTGCAGAAAGTGAAGTTGTGCATAAAAAGGAAACACCTGTAATACTTTGAAAGCAAAACATTTTTCCTTAACTCTACCACAATTCCCCTACTTATAACTAGGCTATGGTAATAAAACTGAAGAACATGAGACATCTGGTCTCATGTTCTTCTAGTAGACCATATTACCAACCATACTTTGTCATATACAGAACAAAAAAAAAAAATTAGAGGAAATTGCATAAAGCTCTCCATTCTTTCAACAAATATGAATGAAAGAGAATCCAAAATATCTGTTAGTCACTTATATGTTACTATCGTAACTGAACTTTCAGAAGAGTACATTTTTTTTCAAATTTAAATATGAAGTAAGCACATGGTAAAAAACAAAGCTTCTTTAATTCTTATTTTTTCAAGTATTCAGCATCTTTTACTTAAAACAATATATTTTACTTACTTTAAGAAAGACAACACTAAAAAAACTTACTGTTGAGATCTCTATGTATAAAAGTATACACAGCATTTCTAATAAAATTTGAGAATAAGAGGTTAAAAAAATTTTCATTTATATCACATTGGGTTTAATGTTTATAACAAATTTATAATTTTAACAAATTGATAATGTGCCCATTTATTTAATACTTTTCAAAACAAATGGAAAATACTATATTTCTACTGATATAATGATACCCTCGGTAAAACATAAACATAGGAGAATGTAAATAAAAGGGGAAAAGATTTATGTTAATTTTTAGGTAAATTGAAGTCATAAGAAAAGAAGACACATGAACTATGAGACGCTTGTTCCACATTTTTAACTGTTATTTTCATGTGCCTTTAACATGCCAGTAGTTTTTAGAACACAAGTACTGTGTTAAGTGTAGAAAAATATTCCAGATAGAGACATATATGTAAAATAATCATTAGGATAGAGTGGTAGCATTTTTTTTCTTTTTCTCAATTTTATTAATGCATAATTTACAAAATTATATGTAAAAGGTAAAACATGAATATTTGATATACATGGAGTGAAAAGATTACCACTATTACTTTTGCCAAATTTCATATACACGGCAAAATATTTTTAATTGTAGTCACCGTGCTCTACACGAGCAATATTTTCAAGGGGACTGGAAAGTCTGAAATTCATTAACTGATGGATTTGTTCACTATCAATGGAGAAATCTTGAGTTAAAACCAAACTTAAAATATTTTTATAAAACTAATTTATAGCAAGTTTTAAAATGATTCATCTTAGGAAAAGGAAGCCAATAAAGATTGAAGAATGTATTTCATGCAATTTTAATAAACAATTTTCTATATCATCAAAACTATCATGCCTTTTCTAATACCAGTACATTTAGTTCTTAAATATGATGCCAATTCTACCTAAAGAATAATGACTATCATGCCTAGACCTTATTATTTTATTATTGTTCATAATAATGTGAAAAAGACTTTTGCATTTCTCCTAATTTGTCTCTCATAACACCATTAAATAGGCTTATTTCATTTCTGTTAGGTAAGCGTTTTGGCATTCCATTTTTATGCTCACTAAGTATAAAGGAATGCTTCTTTTAAAACTTAGACAATATTTTTTTTCCAGTGTTCTCATATATCTGTTTCAAGCATGGAAAAAGAACTAGAATAACTTCCTTAGAAAAACAAATTATTTCTTCCCTACTTGCTGTGAAACAATCATTGCAATGGAACAATCATTCTTTGTTTATTAGTCACTGACTACATTGGGAAGTACAAAGTAAGAATAGACTTTTAAATTTCTTGAATAGATCAAAGATGTTCAAAGATCATTAAAGTATCTGCAGACATAAATGGAAAGAAAAATGGAAACAATTTTATGTAAATTCTATGGGCTCTGACATTTGTTTATTTTTTTTATGAACTTTAACTAAACCAGTTAAACCTCTAACCCCAAGATATTTAGCATGAACCACATTATTATTCCTCTAGAGATGGAGAGCACATAGAAACAGAACTTTAATGTGGTGGTTTTCATAGTTGCATGTAAGTATCTATAAGGAAAAATCTCGAAGCACTCAAAAATCTCTTAGTCACAAGGCAGCAAAAATAGTTGTTAAATTACTTGCCTCCTCCCAAGCAAACCTCTTTTCACATTTAAAAATGAAATTTCACTGTTTCACCAAAATGCACTTAAAAATAAAATTTTACTATTTCACCAAAATACAAATACAGAACAAGTATTAGTTGTCATTTTGCAGAAATTTTTGCAGATGTTTAGAAACTCAATTATTGGCAATTTATCATAGTTATTCTCAATAACTGAAGTATGTTTAACCACAGTCCACAACTGATCCTTTAAGAATTGAGACCTGGTCTTATTTTGGCAAACCCTAAGATGATTCACTGTTAATAGCTGCTGAAATTTCTGCACCTTCCATATAATTAGGAAATAAGTCTGAATTTTCATTGAAGTGAACTTTTTAAGTCACAAGTATGCATGGTCATAACTTAAAATTTTTTCCTATTTTTTTCAATTTATTTCTGCCAATATAGGCCTTTTAAAAATCCCATTTTTTTTCAGTGACTTGGAAACCTTTTTATATTCATATTGGATATCCAGCATATCATATCATGTCATGTTGTTCTACTTATGCTCAGTAGAGCTAAGAGTGATATTCAGAACACACAAATAAGTTTTGTTAAACTTTTCCCAGGAATCTGGAAGTTTTATAATGCCAAGTGTAGCACAATTTTCCCCTGGATTTTTCAACTAGGTTAATAAAATCCAGAAAGTTTTCAGTTAATTAGAAAATTATCTTAATGCTCCCATCTACTGTTAAAGCAAAGAATAGCAGTTGGTTAGAAAGATCTGTTTTCAACTGAACAATTATTAAGGAAATGTGTTAAAGTGTTTGTGTGATTTGCATTGTTGTAAAATTCTTGCAATAGATGAAAATCAAATACTTAGTTGCCTTGAAGAAAGTTTACTATGATGTGCCCATTTGATATTAACAAACATATTTTCTTAGTAAATAATATAGGGAGACTGTGATACCCTTTGTAACTGTATTAGTGGATCTTCTTTTTTGCAAGCGCATATTTATAAGGACGTACTCAAAAATTGGTTGAATGAAAGGAAGAAATTTTTTCCCCTCTCTCCACTTTGCTAGTTGAAAATATTCATGGCAGCATCATAGGACACATTGCAGCAGAGCATAAAAATATCCCACTTATTTTCCAGCTATTGATGGAGGATGCTCTCATCTTGGTCAGTCCTATGCCGATAGAGATGTCTGGAAGCCAGAACCATGCCAAATATGTGTCTGTGACTCAGGATCAGTTCTTTGTGATGATATAATATGTGATGAACAAGAATTAGACTGTCCCAACCCAGAGATCCCCTTTGGAGAATGTTGTGCTGTTTGTCCCCAGCCTCCAACAACTGTAAGTTTAAAACAAAACTGTACATCTTTAATTTGCATATTTAAACACATGAACAGCTTCTCTTAGAGCCTGAAAGAACATGAAAATAATGTCTACCAAGCAATCCTACTGGTATTAAAGTACATGGTGAATGTTTTCATTTAAAATTAGGGATTACATGTAATATGGAAAGAGAAATCTATAGAAAAGTTGGGATAGCTACAGCTCATGGTAAAATTGTTGCTATTGTTGTGTAATCTGTATCTTTTCCATTCATTAGCCTCCAACCGGACCTAATGGACCACAAGGACCCAAAGGAGATCCAGTAAGTAAATATTACTTAGTGGGTAAACTTAATGGTAGTTCTTGGAGTAGTTTTGCTTTTAAAATGTTCCTTTTAATAATCTTTACACATTTGAACCTTAATCATCCATAAATTTTCTTTAATTCCACAAAGTTAAATAGTGACATAAAGTAGTTCAAACTGAGAATCCCTAATCATACATGTAATGATTGAGATTTCCTAAATTTTGTATAACTCCTTTACCCCCAATGTCGATTTAAAAAATAAAATATAGGTCGATCTGCAAAGGAATAAATTAAATTGAAATTATTCAATGATTTGTATAAAAATGTGTATATTCCCAAGAAAATGTGTCACTTGTTTTGATGTTCCATATTACAGAACAGAGAAGCTACAATTTGATAATGAGTTTGAGTCTCTAACATTTGTTATGGTTTTATTTATTTTCATGTCTAATTTTTTTAGGGCCCTCCTGGTATTCCTGGGAGAAATGGTGACCCTGGTATTCCAGGACAACCTGGTTCCCCTGGTTCTCCTGGTCCCCCTGGAATCTGTGAATCATGCTCCACTGGTGGACAGGTGATAAATTCCAAAACCAAAGGAATCCCCTCCTTTCAAAATTATTTCATTTCATTTTTCCCTTCTTTAACCTGTATTATATTTCACTTTTGAAGTTTCCCTTATATCTGTTCCCTGATTTTATGTATTTATCAAATTTTTATTTAGTGTTTATATATGCTAAGCACTAAATATTATAAATATTTACTTTTCTTCAAAATTCTATTGCTATTGCTATTTTATCTTTACAAAGTTTGCCAACTTCTTAGTAGGACTATAATATGTACAATATATTTGAAATATAGACTATCAACTCCTAAAAGAATTAATCTAGATAATTTGGGAACTGATGCAACTGAAACATTGTCCTCTCTAACCCCAATGGAAAGCCTCTGAAAAACTGGAAAAAGCAGTTGTATGAACTGTGAACACTCCTTATTGACTTCATCTATAGGATTACTTAAGTTTGCATAACTGCTTGCCACGCTTTAGAGTGCACCCTGCTCCCCTAGAAAAGCATGATAACCAACTAACTGCATGGAAAACAAATAATCCAGCAAATAAAGCAAAATTCTGATGCATGGACCTAGGAGAAACTGAAAAACACTTATACATAAATCATATGGCTTAAAAACTGCTTTTCAAAATCAATTCAACAGAAAGCAACGCATATTGTCAAACTTATTTTCAACTTGGCTACCACACAGAACCTATTTTGAAGTCTAAAATTTAAACAGAAAAATAAGCTCTAAAGAAATTTGATAAGCACAAAACCTTTCTACTATTTTTGTGCTTTTTTATGGAAATTACTTCTGGGTATATTGATCAGAAACCAAGGATGTGAATTTTATTTGCATCATTCATTAGCTGACAGGAACATAATTTTAGTTATTTTTCATTTAAAATCAGAAGGGCTAATTACATTATCTGAAGGTGATTTTAGTCTCAGTCCATAATCCTACAGTGCTGTGTATACTGTTTGGGAATAGTTTTTTGAGTAAGACAATGCAAAACCAAATTTTATTAGATTAACATTGCATATAATGAGATGGAATATTTATGTATTACGTAAGCATGTATTTCTACAGAACTAATATCTACAGTTAGAGAGAGAGGGTAGGCAAGAAAACAGTACAGACTACATCCTCTGGCATGCAGAAACTCTCTCCCTGATGTTGCATGTGCTTGCTTCTTCTGAATACCTTTGAAAAGGACTATGATTTGTATATCAAAATGATCATATCTATCTGGTCTCTTTGCTACAGAATTATTCTCCTCAGTTTGATTCATATGATGTCAAGGCTGGAGGAGGTGGAGGAGGAGGTTTTCCTGGGCCAGCTGTATGTACAAAATCTTTCTCAGTGTTTCAGTGTTACTTTAGGTTCCAGTTTGTTAAATTTTGAATGGTTGTTCTCCTAATAATGTAACATGATACAACTGTACAAAATAGCTTAGTCTCTATAAAAGCTGAGGAAGAAAACAGTAGCATTACCATGATCCTTTTATTCCATTCAATTTTTCCTTAGCACTTTTCATTTTATGCCTGTTTGCCACTATTTCTTTTTAAAGTGACCAGTTCCGGGATCCCACTTGCCTATATGCTTCGACTCACATGCACATAGTCCCTATTTTTCACCAAATTTGGGGTTTGTTTCACTTTTGCATATCCTCTTTCTCACCCTAATTGTTTGGAATCAGCCTTGTATCTTTCTATGCATTCAGTGCTACTTCCTAGGTGACAGTTGAAGGCTAATCCCCCAATATCACAATTTAGCTCACTTCAAATCCTGAAATCATATGCAAATATTTCCAGATTTTGAGCCCTATTTATTTATCTACCGCATTTATTTATAGCTGTTTGCATTGTACTTTATATTCTCCTTAAGGATTCCCCTTTATGTCAAAGCACTGGAGTTTAGCTAAAAAATAGCAGAACATAGTAAAAGCTGGGTGCCACATTTCATGCATGGTGTCCATGTAAATGTCCCTTGTTATAGAACAAGGCTCTGGGAGAAGAATACTAAGAAAAGTTATGGTTTCATTGACAGTAACAGGTATGTACATATGAATAAAACATGATGCTAAATTTTCTGGAATTACCAAGCTCATATCACATCATTGGACTCCATGCTTGGTGACTTCCAGAATTAGAAAGGATAAAATTTTAGTTGATAGACCAAATGACCTGTTTAGGAAAAATACTTAAATTTGGTATTAAATAGATTTCCAGAAGATAATTTTATAATCTCTTAAGAGTGATTTTTTTTTTATTCTGAAAAACCAGGAAAAAAGTTACATCAGCTATGCATTATCATAACTTTCCAGAAAGGAGACTATGGGCGGGGTGTGTGTGTGTGTGTGTGTGTGTGAGTGTAATTATAAATTGTTGCATTTAGAAGCAACATGCTACAAAGCTGAAGATTTTTTAGTTTATCTGTATTTCTAAACAATGATAATTCAATTGGTTATCATTTATCTTTGTCACATATATGGTAATTCTCATATAAATCTTCATGTCATCATAACTCACTGTTATATTTACAACTTTAGGGTTGGATTACAAAATTAATTTAAGAAAGTGGGACATGAAATTTAGCATGTAAATAACCATTTTCCACAGTGAATTTGACTGTAAAGCAAAAATATGTACTTCCTCCAATTCTAATATCATCCAAAAATTATAGTAAGTCCCATGGCAATTGGATTGCATTTTTGCCCAGGTTATGAATCCCCTTTTTGGGGCTTGAAGCTAACATTTTATAACAACTTCCAATAATTGTTATTGATTCTCTGGAATATCCTTTAGAGTAACATTTTCTTACTAAGATCTTCACTGAAGATCTCATAAAATTAATCATAGTCATATGTGGTCCCATGATGAGGTATTGTTCAGTTTTAAGTGTCATGCCTAAATGGAGATGTGCTCCAGATGCATTCTGAAATATTTGTATTTATCTTTCACATTTACATTTCAGGGTCCCCCTGGTCCTCCTGGTCCCCCTGGTACATCTGGCCATCCTGGCTCCCCTGTAAGTATAGCCATTAGTTATGCCTTTTTCTTCATGCTTATTACATATGTCAAATCAGTAAAGGGCCTGCTGTCATTTGAGTGTTCCTGTATGTGTAATTTCATTTTATAGTGAAGCCACAAGCAAGAAACTGATTATTTCATCAAAGATATTACGATTTCACATTTAATTTGTTCCCATCAACAACTATTAGCAATTAAAATATTGACAAAAATTAATCACATGTTTAATTTGCATGCCATCTGGCTTCAAGTTTGGAGAAATTCTCTTCAAGGGACTCAAGTAATTGGGATGGTATAAATTAACTTTCATCTGAAAATCCTGGTTTCAGTCATTGTAACCTTAATTTTTTACTGTCTTCAGTATGTAAATCAACCACATTAAGATTAAGTTACATTAAAGTATTTGTGTATTACTCTACCCATTAGGGATCTCCAGGATACCAAGGTCCTCCTGGTGAACCTGGGCAAGCTGGACCTTCAGTAAGTATCATTTATATATATTTAATATATTGACTTTTCTATAAACACTTTATTTTTCTAAAGTATAATCAAAAGTCCCTACAAAGTAAAGACTGTTTATGCTTACATTAAAAAATAACAAAGCACACTTTTATAATAATTATACTGGCTTCAAAGATACTTGAACTCAAAGATAGCTTAGGAACAGTATTTAGGTTAAGAATTCCCTTGCGGCCCTCCCTGGTGGCGCAGCGGGTTAAAGCACAGCACTAAGAAGCTTAAGCCACTTCCGCATGAGTTCGATACCCGCCTGCCCCAGAGATGACCACATGGTGCGACAGACTTCTCCTGACCCACCCGCTGCTCCCCTCAGCAGTGTTCTTCGATCTGCCTGTTCTGCTCCCCGCTATTTCTTGTGAATCCTCTCACCCTCCACATCTCTGGCCTGTACCCCAGTTCTGTATGAATAAATAAATAAATCTTTAAAAAAAAAAAAAGAATCCCCTTGCTAGTTAGCCATTATATTAGTTTACTTGCTAGTATAGAAACAAAATCCGCTATGTTTTAAATACAGATTTAATCTTCCTGTAATAATTTGGTTCATCTTCATAGCTACTGCTCTGGTATATAACTTTTTAATTTAATTTAGTAGAAATAAACATAAATTAATAGACTTGTCCAAGAGTACAGGTTGTGTAAATAAGCAAGTAAAGTAAAGTGAGTTAATTCAATATTTCAAGATATTGTGAATACATATATAATTGAAAATTCAATATCTCAAAACATATAGAAGTATATTTGGATTTATTAATTCACATATATGATATAAAATATAATACATGCTATTTCTAATTTTCCTTAAAAATAAGTTTAATAAAAATAAAAATAGATATGGTATATTAACTCAGAGTATCATTTTCTTAATGAGAAATTTCAAGAGTAGTTTCTAAAAGGAAGTTCCCTCCAGGAATAAACATATTTTGGCAACTGTAACAGAAAATATACAAATATATTTGGTTTTTCTTTATTTTTAGGGTCCTCCAGGCCCTCCTGGTGCTTTAGGTCCATCAGGCCCTGCTGGAAAAGATGTAAGTTTTTAAGGACTGAATGATGACACAATAAAATTCTATTTGGAATAGTCTAAATAGAATATATCATCTGTAAGAAATTTATGGTAAAAAAAATCTTATCCAAAAATTGTTGATATTTTACATGTTAGCTCATGTTAATCTTTGAATATCAGTATTTACTTAACCACACATACCATTTATTAAATTCCCAACTAGCAGAATTCCTAAATGTATATCTTGACTCCATCAAGAAGACTCAACCAAAGTATCACTTAACTAGAAGAGAAATAAATTATTTCTTTCTGTTGTAATGAGAAAATTGTTAGTAGTACTTTATGAAATTGAAAACTTTAAACATCTTTCACAGTATGTAGGGATTTTTTCCATATAACCTTCAATGGCAAATTGTTCACATGGAGCTGAGAGACAATCGTCTCTCAGTGATGAAAAATGCCTTCATTGTTCATAGGTTTCACAGTGGTGGGAGAAGCCATCTCCTTTCCTTCTACCATGGAAGCTGATCTCACAAATCCTCATCTAGCCCTATGATCTTCATAAATGCTAGATGAGAATAATGCATAGGAATCAGTTCCCTAACTCACTACAATATATTTTCTCTTGCACAGCATCCATTTATTTTTTCTTTATTCACCTAGGGGGAATCAGGAAGACCAGGAAGACCTGGAGAAAGAGGATTACCTGGACCCCCAGTAAGTCCTCACCATCCAATAAAGTAACCTCAGTGATTTTTAGCTTGAAAATTGCTATGTAATTAAACTGAAGTACACTAAAAATGAAGGCACTTTACCAATGGGTTGTGATCGATTTGAAGGTTCTCGAAGGTTCAATAACATCTTTTTTATTAATCATTTTTAGGGTATCAAAGGGCCACCTGGCATGCCTGGATTCCCTGGTATGAAAGGACACAGAGTAAGTAGAATTTCTGAACTGACATTAAGCTTCTCCATTTGGATGTGTTTACTTGCCATATTTTTTTTTGAATAATTGAGATCATGCCAGAAATGATTGATTCTGACAACTAGTTTATTTAATTGTTTTTATTTATCAAATGTATTTGAAAAATATTGGAAAATAATAAGTTCATTTTCTTCCCACCTCATTGATTTAATCAAAATGATTTACAGGCTAAATCAAGGAAATTTATTCTATACAACATTATTAGGTAGATTCAACCAACAGTTTAATAGGAACAAAATATATGACACTGATATTTGTTTCTGTAATATTAAGGCAATTTTCTTAATTAAACCAAATTGCACTTTCTAATTAGTTGGTTTCTTTGCTATAAAACCAATGTTAAATGTCTTCAATCTATTTAAAAGACTTTTAAATGAGTTATTATTCTTGAAAATAGCTCTATGTGGTAAAAATCTAGTTTTAAACATTCCATGCAAAGTTTTAAGCCCTTTTGGATACAGCATTTAATATCTTTACTACTTTTTTTGAATATTTCATAGGGCTTTGATGGACGAAATGGAGAAAAAGGTGACACAGGTGCTCCTGGATTAAAGGTGAATCACTCACAAAAAATTATATTTTCACAAGCTACTTCACTTCAAATTCCTAGTTAAATTTAAAATGTATATTTTGATCTTACATATATATATTTGGACTTTTTCTGAAATTTGCTTGAATTTTGCATTTTAATAGCTGAATAAGAATGATTGATTGAGGTGTTCTATTAAGGTTTCTGTGAAAGTTGATAATTTTAACTGTCTTGACTAGAATTGCTTCAACATCCTTGAGTAACTCATTGGTTATTTTTGTTTAATCTTAAAGTTTTAAAATGCAAAAGTCGAATTGGCAAATAAAAAACAAATATTTGATTTTGTTAAAATGTATGTTTGCCCTCTAGTTTTCCCAATATTTTTCGTAATAGTTTGTGTTTAAGAAATGATGGAATTCTCTTCCTGTTACACAAAATCATAACATATTACATGTTTCTAGGGTGAAAATGGTCTTCCAGGTGAAAACGGAGCCCCTGGACCCATGGTAACTTATGCTTCGTATGGACTCTTTTACTATTACCTCTATCGACGGTCAAACCGGTTCTAAACTGTTCTTACATGTGTCAAGTTTAAAGCAAAACCTTCACTTCAATTTTATTCTGTAGGGTCCAAGAGGGGCTCCTGGTGAACGAGGACGGCCAGGCCTTCCTGGAGCTGCAGTGAGTGTATTTACAAAATATAAACTACACCAGTTCAAGTTAGAGTCGCAGATAAATGCCTCAGGTTTAAAGGCTGAAAATACATCTTCTATAAAATAGCATTTAAAGTCACCTCCATAAAATTTTAGCCATGATTGCGGGACACATATGTTTCGTCGTTATATCTGTTGCAGGTTTCTTTGTGTGTTAAGTTTGCATATTATTAGAGCAATTATTTTCTCATTCAGTTCTATAAAACACAGAAATCCCTCTTCATACATTAGATCACTATAGACATAAAAGACCAACAATTTAGTTGTGATAAACATATTAGTAATTACTTTTTAATATATTTGAGGAAAACAACTCAATTGAATTGGAATTAAGCTAAAACATTACTTCTGACCAACCTTTCAGAGTTAAGAAAGTACTTCAGACAAATTTCTCTTTTTAGGGGTCTCGAGGTAATGATGGCGCTCGAGGAAGTGATGGACAACCAGTGAGTGACTTTGTAATCTGTTCCTGTTGCTTTAGCGTTAATGAGCAAGATTGTGGCTTGTAGACATGTGTGTAGAAATCTATCTGGGTGATATCATATATGTTAATGTTAATTATCTTTACCACTTAAAAATAAAAAAAAAATTGATTTGATTATAGCCCCCAAGCTGAACATTCCTTTGTAAATATCTGACTCAAACTGACGATGAGCAAGAAGCAAATCTAGAGTCTGATGCTTCTCAGTCCACTCCACAGATTGCTAACATCTGTGACATGTTTACAGTGCTAGTTAATATCCAGTATTGAATGGAACAATTAAGAGAGCTCTAGTAAATAGATAATGCCATCTCCACTTTATAAATAAATGTCCTACAAAGACTCAGGACTTAAATAACCAACATAAAGTCTCTTACTTCCTGGCAGCATTATGTTTGTGTAGGGAGAGCCAGTGTCTAACTTTAGACTTCATTCCTATATTTTACAACATTGTTTCTCCATATGTTCATCTGTGTATAATAAATACTATTTTATTAGCATAATTGTCTTGTGAACTATGTATGTGCTCACTTGTGATTTACTACTAGTGTTAGCTTTTGTTTATTTTATAAAGAGATCTTGAAATTGTACTTAATTTTATTCAGGGCCCTCCTGGTCCTCCTGGAACTGCAGGATTTCCTGGATCCCCTGGTGCTAAGGTAAATTGCACTTCTACAGAATGTAAATGTATCTGGGAGAAAACAACAACAACAAAAAAGTCATTGCACTGCTTCTTGAAAATTATTTTAT